GAGCGTCGTTGAAGCTGAGTCAGTCGATGATCCTCCGCTTGTTTCCGCTCAGGGTCCGCTTTGAGCTCTGAATTTGCTACTTTCGTTTAAAATTTTGTTAGATCCGATCGACCAAGAGCGCACATGGTTTTTATTGTTTCTTTGCTTTACTTTGTCTGTTTTATTTTGATTTACCCCCGGTGTTGAATTGTGAAGTTCGTTGGATAATTGTATACCGATTTATATAGTTTGGTGCGTTGATTTAGATTCTTGCTACAAAATATGGGTTTCTGTTGGACGAATGCTTGATGCATGCTTTGAAGGATTTCCTTATTTGATAATCTTTTGTGGTATTAGCGAAAGTTAGAGGGAACGTTGGTGATTGTTGTAATTCGTATAATTTCTATTAAGATTTGTGGTTGGCAAGTTTGTTCCATGTTTGTTGATTTCACAGCTTAATTTGATGTCCCTTACATTGTTTTGTTATCAAGTATATTATTGACAATATTTACATCGAAGATGATTATGGTATGCTCTCATTATTTTCTTTGATTGGGTGACCAGCCCATTTTATTTGTATGCCATGATTCAGACTTTTTACTCTATTAAATTGTGCTAAGTTATTTAACCATAGATTATATCTTTCTGTCTCTTAATTGAGCATGGAATTGTTTTGATGTCATATTGTTGATCTATTTCTTTTACTCTATGAATGCGGAGATCAATTTGGGTTTGATGCACAAAGAACAAAAGTCTTTTGACCTGATAAAACTTAAGTCTAGAGGTGTGGGATAACCACTGATATTTCAATATACTACCAGCATTTTCATAATTCAATATGGCTTTCCTACATAACTAACTGTAAAAATTCCTTAAAATTGTCATGATCACCCAAATTCATGTTCTGAACTCCAACACAAATTACAAATGGCTTTTCAAAAGTATCCCTTTCTTTCAATGTAAGGAGTACTCTTGACAGAAGTATCTTCTACTCCAACAATCTTAACAAAACCATAAAAGCTACTTGACCAAAGTACACCTATTTCTTATGAAAACAACCTAATTAATAGGACTTAACCTAGGAGAACATTGTGTGAAAACAACACAAACATTTGAAAGATCATCGGCTGAGTGCACAATGCAAACATTTATAGTCTCTTATGACAATTTCGTCTTCTTGGAAATTACGCTGATGAAAATTTGATAATATTGTGTTTTCATTGAAAAACTAGTATTTGTTTCTTTGGATGAGATAATGTATACACTGTGCTTGTGGCAAGGAAATTTTCTCTGGTGCTTGAACGGTAGATATTTGGTCTTAACCTTTCTGCTTCTTTGAACAGCTTTTACATACTTTCATATTGTTCTTTTTTGTAATTATATTCTCGTTAATGTTAATAGTAGATATCGTTTATTAAATATTTTTTGCAGATGTTAACTTGTGTGTAAATATCTCAAATTTATGTTTATTTGCTGAAATATAGTTTTTCTGCTGCTTAAGACTTTGTACTTTCTTTTCAGACAGTCATGATGAGCTAGAATCAAACCTACAGGAGCTACACTTGCAGAAAAAAGGTCATTGAAAATTTATCTTCTCAAATAGTTTATACATATGGGTTGATAGTTGGTACAGGCATTTAATCAATCATTATTTGAAATTTCTTGAAAGTCATTATTTAATGCTAATATATGTAATCTGTGGTTTTTACTTCACTTTACTGATTATTTGATTCCTTATAATAAGTTATGATTTCCTCCATTACTGCTGATTTTATTTTGCTACTGCACATTTTTATAATAGAGAAGTTACCCGAACATGAGGAAATTCAAGAACCAGGGGAACAAGAAGAAGAGAAAAAACGGCATTTGAATGTTGTTTTCATTGGGCATGTTGGTAAGTAACCAACTTGATGAAAAATGTTTTACTGATAATTTGATCATTTAAGGTTATGCTGCATGATGGGGCATGTGTGTGTTCTTACGTCATTTTATATTTTCAGACACATGTTTGCGTATTCACTGTATCTATGCATTTGGCCTGAAGTTGCTCTTTGAACTTACAATTTCTGTGCCTGCACCAGCTCCTTGTTAATGTTTTGCTTCTTTTACTTTTGTAATCTGTTTGGATTTATTGTGAATGCCAATGAATGAAGCCAACTATGCTGTATGATCTGATTTTGGGAAAAAAGATCTTTGACGGGGAAATTGCATGTGAAAGAACTGGAAACATTAAAATGATAAGTTTACCAAACTTGAAAAAGATAGATGAGAAATCTTTATATTAGAGGTATGATGAGAGTAGCCATTATTGAAAATAAGCTAGCGGGAAGTAGGATTAAGTGGTTTAAGAATGCATAATAAACGGTAGAATATGCATCAATAAGATGGGTAGATAAAATCAGTGTTTGAGGATTAGGAAGTCGAGGTATTAGATTAGACAAAAGATAACTTAGAAATTATATAAAAAAACCTATGTAGAATATGTTTAACACATCACACAACAATTAATTTTGACTAATGGAGAATTAGGATTTATAAGCTAATCCAAAATAATTTGGATAAGGAAAATGATAAGTATGATGAATATTTCTATCTTCACCATGCTTATGCAGGGATAGAATTTATAGTCATTAAAGGAGAAAACATTACCATTTTGATATATTTACTTTCAAATTTTAGGATTGCCATTCTCTGAAAGTTGCCTTTACGGCTTGAAAATAAAGCCCATTTGCTTGCTTAAAGTGGAAAAAAAAGTTTTTGAAAACAATAAAATTTGTGGCTTTTACCCCACAAACCTTCTTAAATAAATTGTGGCTTTTGCTCCACAAACCCTCTTAAAGCTCTCTCAAATGTTAGGATTTTTATTTCATATATAAAATGATTGAAAATGAAATTATCATTTTTCATATTATATTTTTATCTTCAAGCAACCAAATGAGACCTAAGAGTGATGTTTTTCTATTCCTTAGTAGCTTTATTTGGAAGTTTTGCAGCCATCACTTTTATACAGATCTTTGGTGAATTTTGATTTTTTGCAGCATCATTTTTGCTAAAAAATTTATTATTGCAGATGCTGGCAAGTCGACAACAGGAGGGCAGTTACTTCTCCTTAGTGGTCAGGTTGATGATCGAACTATTCAGAAGTATGAGAGGGAGGCAAAGGAGAAAAACCGAGAGAGCTGGTATGTAGTTTATTATACTTTTTTAATATTGTTTGTTTACGGGGTCTTTAAACTGCAAATTGTTATGGCCCGTGTCATTAGTACCTAAGAATTGCGCTTATCATGTTTATTCTATGATCTATTAGTTTGATGTTCAACTTATATTTCAGTGAGTTTTGTAGTATTAGTAATAAAATGTTATGTCAGTATGCGATGCCATACTTTTAAGCATTCTGGACATTTCTAGCTGAGCTTGAGTTCCGGATTAAAATTTCAGATATAAGGCTTAAATTGTTATCAGCTTTATAATTTGTATTTTTTTTTGGCTGATTGATCAAGGCTTCATGCTACTCATCATGTTGATGAATTGTGATCAGGTTTAGAAAATGCATTTTTTTGTTTGCGACTAGTGTCCTCTTCAATGTATTGTAATTGCCTTAAACGCAAAATTTGGTAGTAAGGTCGTGGGAAACTCTTTGTAGTAAATATCCATTTCATTAATTTTTTCTTTTTCTATCTTGGTATGGCCTAAATGGAATTTGTGAATCTCTTTTTCTTTTCTATGGATTAGAGAAAATATGCATGCATATTGCCTGGAGTAGATGATTAGATCAATGGTGAAGATAAGAATGATTACTTGTTTGATTATTCATGACAATGTTATATTACAAATTGAAACACTTTTTTCATGTTTTGATCTATCTCTTCAATTTTTATGTGTGTTTCCATTTGCCAGCATATATGTTATTCATTTCTTCTCAACGGGGAATTTAAGTCATTCATGTACGTGAGCATAGCAAGCATAAGTTGTCTTCACTTGCGTGTTATTTATTCCCTTACTTTCCAGGTATATGGCTTACATTATGGATACCAATGAGGAAGAACGGATAAAGGTGTGTTTACTAATTTTATATCCTTGATTTAAGATGTCTCAGTCGTCCATACTGTTTTTCGTAATCCTTTTGAAATATCTACAATGCTTTTTAATATGTAGACTTAACACTTTTGGTGATTTAGAGCTGCAGAATGGGTCAAAATTTATTTTTGAGCATTGTGAAATGGATATTTGATTACAATTGTTCAACTCATGCTATTTTTAAAGATTAGATGATCAAAATTGTCTACAGACTTCTTACGTGCTCATTTTACTTGTAGATATTTTTTTCAAATATTCAGTTTGATTTCTCAACTCACTAAATTTGAACCAATTTGGTTCACTATCAACTTTGTAGTTTCTCTGGATGAAAACTGGTTTCTATGGATGGAAACTGGTTTCTATAGATGGAAACTGGCGGGACAAAATTTTTGTGGGGCATTTTTTGACTTTTTAGAGTTTGTCTCGTTATTTTTTAGCTAATTTTAACTAGTGAGATAAGTTTAATAAAAATCAAAATGCCTTTATGAAAAGTTTCTCTCCACCAACTCTATTTCAAAAAATGATAGTTAATATTAGCACCAACTTGGCAAATTTAGGGATTAAATTGAACTCCTGAAAAATTTGGGACTGACATGGACATATAAAAAATCTTGGGATCATTTTGGTCATTTGCTTTATCATTAAATGAATTACAAGAATTAAATTAATAAATAATTTTTGTTATGGGGCTAAGTCTTATTGGTTTTGAAAGTAATTATTAATTTGATGGATCATACCTTACCTTAGTCTCTTTTGGCTGTTAGGTACTAAATGTTGGGTAGCATGAAGTTTCAAAGAAATACCCTTTTGCTTTTAAAAGATTTTATCTAGACATAAATTAGACTTCTTATGCTATGTATTAGATAGGAAGGTTTGAGTTTTCATATGGATGTGAGCCCCCTATAGTTAATCAAATCCCAAATGCGATACTCATGAATGCTTGACTGGGGATGTTACATACACTTTGAATTGGAGGCGATTTTATTTTAATTTATGATTCGGGATAGTGGTTAGGAAATGATTGGTATGCTTGATCAAGATTAGCATGATTTTTGTCATCTTAAGTTAACCTAGTAGACCACGTCTATCAATTTCTTAAGGCTTAAATGTATTCATATATATTTAGTTGATCGGAGTGGCATTACTTAAGGGCACTTATGCTCTATTGTTGGGCAAATTATTAGGTGCGGATTAGGAAGGTGCTGATTTAGGTGTTGCATTGGTTGTCTTGATACAACCAATACAACCCAATCCACACGTGCGGATTCCACACCTTATAATCTCACCTTTTGTTGAGATCCAATGAACCTAACTTGAATTAAATCACTTCAAAGGAATATCTCTCTTTCAATTGTTGAAAGGTATTTTTACATAGCCATCCAACATTCAATACACGGACAGGATTGATTCATTTGGAGATTGGTTCAAAGATGTGAGGTGTTGACAATTCAACTATTTAAGATCTAATTTTAATTTATTTTAAAGGAGGAGCTCCCTAGAGCACACAAAATGATAATTTGAGTTGTAGGGCAATTTTCAAGATTACAAAATCATGTTTAAAAGTTTACTTGAGGTTTTTCTAGTGTGTATATCCTTTACTATTGAGCTGATTAACTATGTGGTAAAGTGCCATTTGGGATATTCATGAGTAAGGAGCCCTTAGTTGACTTGAGCTTTAGCTTGGAATATTGATCTTAGGAAAAGTTTTGAGCACTCAGGTTAGAGAGAAAGTGAGCAAAGATTAGAGAGGGAAAATTTAGAGTGAGAAGTGATGAGATTTAACTGGATTAGTTTGAATATGAAAACATTACTCTTTTTGGCCTTTTGTCCTTGAACCCCTATTGATAGGTTTGGATAGAGGTATAGGAAATGGTGCATATGGAGCTATATAAATAAAAAAATACATAACAAGTTTTAATGGTTATTTACTATAAAATATGTAAAACGTGTAGCTTAATCACGTTGTGAGTAATATAAATAAAGCCTTCCATGAATGGGGCCACCCTGGTTGAAGTCATTGTTACATTGGATGGAATTGCCGACTTACTAGGGAAAACCACTAAGTTGGCCAAAGGAAGTAGCCAACTTGCTTAAATGAACCTTGGGAATAGCTTCTAAGCTTGGGCAAGGATGCTTTAAACATACTTTTGCTTCAGTATATTTTAATGAGTTCACCATGATCTTGGTGAGTTTATAAAAGTTCTAGCAAGAAGGATGCCTTAAAAAAACTTTAGCTTGGGTATATTTTAAGGAGTTTACCATGATCTTTGTGAGTTTATAAAAGTTCTAGCAAGTTCATAATATTTTTGGCGAGTTCATGGTTTTCTTTTTTTTTTTTTTGGACTTGATCTTGCTATTGTGAATTGGGCTCGACTTAGCTTGAATTATGTTTTCGAGATATTTGGATGTACATTTAGTTCTCCAATTCTCTTATATTTTTTGAAAGGTAATAACATTAAAAAAAAAGATTGAAAATTTTTTTTGTTAAATTAATTCTTATTATATTGAAAAATATGTTTATAATCATTATTTTTACGGTTTTTGCGGTCTGTGAATCTCATGGATCATTAATTAATCTTGCCTTGTTTGAGCAAGCTTCAAATGCAGATGATTTGATTGATGGATCAATGTGATTGAGCTTTCTTTTTGTGTGATATTAGATGAGTTTATGTTTGAGGTGGAGTGATGATCTATGTTGAGTGCTTTAATATGAGGGGGAGTTTGTTAAATCATGCGAGATTATCAATGTATTTTCATATTGAATAGTTGAAGAATATCTTAGTGCACAGATATCAATTGTTTGGTTCATTTGCACGTAAACTTTTGGGTTAAAAACATATTTGAATATTGGTGTATCTTACCTAACTTCTATCTGCTTTCTGTTCTCGACTTGAAAATATCTCTTGTCAATTTTAATGAATGGAGGATAGTTCATAGAGTTGACGACTTGACCCTAATGAATTTGTATAAGGCTCTCACTAATTTGGGTTGTTTAGTCTTTGTTTCTGCATTAATAAGGCGTGTCAATTATTTGAATTTATGACCTTTAGATGTAACTGGAATAATATGGTGATATTCTTCTATTTTGCCTTAAACTCTTATAGATGCTAGGAATTGTAATATTCTTCTATTCTTTTTTGATAAATGTTATGAAAATTTGTTATTTAACCATTATTTTTATGTTAAGTATGATTTGTGAAAGCCAAATGCTAAATGTTATGTTTAAGGTTTTTATTATCTTATGTTTTAGAAATTATAACTAGTTTTGAAGATATTGTGGATATCGAACTAAATTTCTAAGAGAAAGCGTGATAGTAGGAGTAAAATTTATTTTTGAACATCAGAGGGCACATTATTAATAACACATAGATAAATGAATTAAAGAATACATGAAAGAAATAAAATCCTTCAAATTAGATCTAGATAATACATATTCTATGTAATAACATGTGCAAATAAATTCATTTTGATTTCAAATTACTGGAATACCTGCTGCTCAGGTTGCTAGAAAAATAGAGTGGGATTTATATACATACCACACAATTCTTATGTATACAATTCTTATGTATTTAGTATTTACATATCTTTCAGGTAAACTTAATATTTTCTTATATAACATTTATACCTTTAACATCACATAAAAATTGACAATAATGTCAACTTTTTAAAGGGAACTTTAAATTTTTATGCATTTGTTTTGATTTAGTTATGACGCTAAGTGTTATATAATTAAGTGTCAAAGTTTAGGTGCTAGATAGGTAAACACATAAGAAATTTGTGGTATGTATGTGTAGATCCCCAAAAATTAAAACTTGCATGAATCTTCATTTGAATCCACTCAAATGCATCTCGACTCAAATTCTCTACTTTAGTTTTGATATCTCAATTCAATTTTTGAGTTTGGCTTAATTTGATCTTTTTAAATATAGTTTAAGTATATATGGAATATAATATAGTATAAGTAATGCATACATACATACATATATACATACATACATACATATATACATATATAGATATGTATATATATATATATATGTATATATATATATGTAT